ACTTAAAACGCTACGCGGAATAGAAATGTGTTATTTGCGCCAAAGTGTTAGACCTTGGAAAAGTGCCATATTTGGAGAATACTGATTTGTAAAATCAATGGTAAAGCAATTATCTTATATGGCTCTGTAATTTTGTTTAATATACCTGATCTCTCACCTGAGAGGGACAGGGTGATGTAAATATGATGGCATCATTAATTGTAAGTGTATTTTCAAAATTTAAAATGCTTATAACAAGTATAAAAAATAATGAGAAATATATATACAAGTAGATTTACTTGTCTTTCCTTTTTTTAATGTAGAAACCTCCAACCTTCTGCAGTAAAACAGTAATTTTGAGTGGTTACCTCTGCTGTAAATAGAAGGCCCTTCATACTACCTATGGCTGGCACTGGGTTTTCCATATCTGGCTCTCCAAACTCTCTTTAAAGTCCTATGTAATATTGAGTAAAGAGTGGGATTGGCCATGTAAAAATGGCATCTGCCAAGCTAAAAGAATGGACCAGGCAGATTGCCAGTTTTAAGTGTTTTTTTAAAATCTGTGATGAAATACAACAACTTCTCAGTAAAGATACCAACATGTACACAGACTGGGCTACACAAGCCTTTTTCTAGTGACTGGACAGTTCTGCAATAGATCAGGCTATCTAAAGTTATGGTGTCAGTTGTAATATATATGCAGAAAGAGAGTAAGCAAGTCATGACAGTTTAGAGCTGCATACTCATGCTGAACTGGGTTTCAAATGAACAATTGTTAAATCCAATTTAAATGATTTCTGAATGGATAGCAAGAGGTTCATACAAGTGCCATCAGCAGATAAACTCTAAACTGAGCCTACTGTGCAGATAATAGTGATGTGTATGGGAATTTTAACCACTTCAAGACCAGGTGTTTAGACACATTTTTCAGTATTCAGTGCTGCGGCACTTTGATTGACGTTTATTCCATCATGCAACACTGTACTGAAATGAATTTTATACCCTTTTTTGGGGACAGATAGAGCTTTCTTTTGGTGGTATTTAATAACCACTGCGGTTTTTATTTTTTACTTTATTAAAGAAAAATATTGAAAATTTTTGGGAAAAAAGTTGTTTTATTAATTATATTAGGAAACAATGATTATTACCCATATTTTTGGTAAAATATAAAAGACGGGGTCACATCGGGTAAATAGACACCAAACATGTTATGCTTTAAAATTGCACCCTCGAAATCGCAAAAAAAACTACCATACCCAAAATTGACCATAGGTGACGCTTTAAAAGCTTTTACAGCTCATCAGTTTTATCAGTGATTGATAGCCCTAGAACTATTGCTCTCATTCCGACGTTATGTAACATGTGTGGAGTAATGGGCGAAATCGTCGTTGTCACATGTATGCGCATCCGACGCCTGTTTGACTGTTTGCATGCATGTATGTATGGGGGGGCTTTAAAAAAAATAAAAACATTTTTAATTCTTTTTTATTTTTTTGTAATTTTACATTTGGGGGGGGGGCACTTACATTTTTGTCCCTATTTTTTTTTCACTTCATTGTATTGCAATAACATAGGGGGCTAAGAAAAACCCCTTATGTGATAGCAAAATATGTGACAGGTCCTCTTTATGGAGACATCCGGGGTCTCCAAGACCACTAATGTCACCTAGGACACCCCTGAAGAAGCTGATGATGCAGAGATCTGCTTCATCAGCTTCTCTCCAGCATCTGAAGCTGGAGAGTGACACAAGAATGCGGAAGTGATGTAATATACATCAGTTCCACATTCTGACAGCGGAGAGGGGATCGGAGGGAGGTCGTGAACCGACCTCCCTCTGATCCCAGGTGACAGAGGCACTATGCTGGTCCCGGGCTCTCACCGGGTACAGCGGAGCCTGGGACCAGTGTGACAGTGGGAGGGGGGGAGCCGCAGAGGGGGGGGCGCACATCTCGGGACCTCATACAAGCGATCCGCCGGCTGTATATTAACGGGCATCGCTGTCTGTTTTTCAAATATTGGGGAGCTAAGATTGAAATTTACACAGCTGAAGAAATTGTATTGTACTGAAGTTAAATATTACTTACAAGTAATGTTCCTCTACCTATATTTGTATAGTTCTTAGGCTGATCTCACTCATGTCACAGAGTGTGACCAGTGAAGCCTGTCCTCTCATCTCTCAGATAAGTAACTATTGATACAAATTGTCTTTTTAGCTATCGGTTTGGTGTGAATTCTTCTTTCTGATTATTAAACTAAAGGGCATTAATACTCCTACTGGCCTTTCTCCACTGCCCCTCCATTGTAAGGGGTCCTTCTCCACCAACCACCAATGTATAGGTGTCCCCACAGTTGATCCAGAGGAAGGGAAAACATTTAATTTACTCCAACAGGGGAGAAAAATTCCTTTCTGATCCCTTAAGGCAATCAGGTATTCCCTGGATCACAATCTCTGGTGTTTATTTTACTTCCAAAAATGTTAATATCTAGTAATAATCTGTGCATTTAGGAATGCGGCCAGTTTTTTTTTAAAACCATGAACTGAGCTAGCTAGAACTAGCTCCTGAGGGATTCTATTCCACACTTTCACAACTCTAACTGTGAAGAAGCCACGTGGGCACATGTTTTTCCTGGTCATTGATATTTGTTTCATTTTAACATACTTAATTCATATTGCCAAATATATAATTTTATTGTAGAGAAAATGATTTTCCATGGGTATCAAATACTCTTGGTATATCATACTGTATTCTTTCTTCTGTTTTATTATTTTACATCCAGAACTTGCAGTTTATGCTTATGTCCCAGGAGACATAATTTTGGTAGGTATTTTCTAAGACCTAAAATGATTACAAGGTTGAATTTGATGTCTCTGTGGGGGATCACTAGGATAGGAGTTGAAAGCAATTCTCCCTAATAGGGTGAAGCAGTCATTAAATTATGACAAAAGGTTTCCTTTGGTTCCACTTCATAACAAAAAGAATACCTAATTCAGTTTTTTTAACTAAAATGCCTAAATGCCTTGACAGTGATCATGGGGAAAAGCTAATGAATCCTACAGTTTCAAAACTAAACAAAAACACATATAACATATCTGGATCAACTGGAACTGACAACTGTACCACAATAAATGCTTTAACAGAGTAAGGCTCTGTTTATCAAACAAGAAAGACGTCCTCACTAGTTTTTTTTTGTGTTGCACATAAAAGCCTGACTTTAGACCATTGATTATTTAACACACTGTACACCAGAGGAAAGATCAAAGACATGTTGGTTTGTTTAAGCCTTCATCTTAAAAAAAGTTTAAAAAGGCTCTGATCGCATCCATGTGCTACATTACACTTGTTCTGTTCTCTGATCTACATCAATAGGGCACACCAAAGTTAAATAGTTGTCCAAAAATGGCTAACTACAACAATATCGAGACTAATTTATGAACTATGGTGGAAAGGGACAGTGTATGTATGGCTAACTGAAACCCTAATGGACATCATCATTATAGTACACTAACAAACTCCCAGGTGCAATCTGGTTTCTATGTGCAACACAACGATATTTTATTATTTTTTTCATGAACTATAGTTATAGGATAGTTCCAGTTCAGTAAATGGATAAGTCTGCACACACATCAACACTGTGGTTGACCTATTCAAGAAAATTGTAATAAAAAGACATTGGGCCTTATTGGAAAGGAAGCTGTAGAAGTGTTTTTCTAAATTTACTTTTCTTCCCTGGTATCTTAGAAAGGCATCTCATGCATTATTTTAAGGGGGTTATTCACTATGGAGCTGAAGAATATAACCGTAGCTTCGGGTGATCGTTCGGCTCTCTTCGGCCGCCCCTGCCCTTTGGTTCAGTCAAACTGAAGGGCTGCTGTACGGCTATTTACAATAGCCCATACAGCAGCCGAGGGCAGCCTAGCGGCTCAGCCAAGCCGAAGGCCTATCCTTGTGACAACCGAAGCGTGGAGAATGGTCGGCCAAAGCCGACCAATCTCTAAGCAAATGACAGCTGGGCAGAGTCAGCTGTGATCTCACGGCTCGCGGCTCACTCCACCCAGTTGTAATGACGGATCAGCGTCCCCAAATGACTTGGGGATGCTGATCTGTCATTAAACAATAACAACTGGGCGGAGCCATTTGTAAATTAATTTTTCAACTGTTTTTTTTTCCCATTAATTGCACTTCTTTTCTATTCTGCTCGGTAGCGCAGAGGTACCGAGCAGAATAGCCGAGCTGAATGCTGCTCGGCAGCATTCGGCTATTCGCTCACTAACGTTCGGCCCCTATGCATTGCAAAATGTAATGCTCACTTTTGGGTGAGGTCTAATTGATTAGCACTGATAATTCAAGATGCTGTTCTTAATTATTATTATTTATTGCAAACATAAATCCTTGACAAGGCTCCCTTAACAAAACAGGTTTTTCTCTGCAAATATTACAATTTAATTGAAATCATATTTAAAAATCCTTTTTCTACCACTCCATTGTGAAATAATGCAGATTACTCTTTCAGTTTTCATAATTTGCTTCACTAAGTATATGATATTCCCAGACCTTCATGCATCTTTAAATGGCCCTGCATGTATTTCAAAAAGTGCGCTGGGGTATGTCCCTGGTGGAATATGCTCCCTCCTACATTATGTCTATGGAGGGTGCCTTGGTTGTTACTCTAGCCTGGACTTCAAGCATGACTTCCTCTCCATCTTCTTTACATGCGGAGTGGGGGGATTATTAGTTTACAGAAAGAAGATAACATTGTTTTATGCTTCCATCTCACAAGAAGTGACAAGGACATTGCATTTCCGGCAAGATCAACCCCATCCAAGTATCTACTCAGTTTGGGACCCGACATATGTTTCTTTTACTGTTATTATCCGTGGTATATGTATTTTTTTCATTGTATACAAAGTTGGAATTGACTAGACTTCTGACAATTGTTCTTGAAAGTCATAGAAACAATTTAAAATTGAATTATCCTTGCAATATGTTTTCATTAACTAATGCTGTAATCTTGTATTTTAGATTCTCATTGCGAGCATAATGTGCATCTACAACAAAGATGACTGGATCACACTATCACAAATGGCTGAGGTAAATTAACCCCATCAAATTTCAATATGCCAATCAGGTTTTGCAGCTTGCATCAGTTATTTAATAGCAAGTAGCATACATATTTTGGATGCATAGTCTGTGATCTATAGGTCTAGATACCAAAATGTTTACAGTCCATGTGTTATTAGAGAAAACATTTGTTTCAGTCAGTTGTATTTGGAACCACATTAAAAGTTAAAATCTAAAATAAGTTAAAGCCCTGCCTAACAGCAAACACCCCAAGATGCCTGTTGGGGAACAGCTTTTTACTTGCTAACAGTGCCATAAGCATACTTCTTAGGGGGAAATCGTTTTTAGACATAACAGCAGTTTGTGACAGCTGAGACAACCTGATTTGTCTTGAGGTAGACATAGAAGCTTTTACACACATAGGGAGATCTGATGGAAAGTTATATGTTATCATCATGGAAATCATGATTTAAGAGCAAAGCAGTGGGTCATCTGTTATATTCAGTTAAATCAAATTTGGGTAGAAGAGGCCATGTATGTCTCTTCTCTCAAAAGACGCCTTCCTCTTTCTGCTGGAATTTCTGTGTACATGCTCAGAGAAGTGTACACTCTGTAGGATGCCAGTAATGGAGTCGTCTTCTGAGATACTGTAACTCCAGAACACATACACAGGAGTGACTTCTTCAGTAGCTGCCCAATGGTTAAAAAATAAAGACGCTAGGTGTGAAAGAATTGCTGGAGAATATGGCAGAGGCGAGCAGGGGCAATAGAGTGGTGAGGAAAGGGCACAGAGCTGGAGGAGGACAAACTATATGAGAAATTATAATGCCCAGCAGACATGTACAGTGTAAGCGCATGCGCCTTCGGACTTCTCTTAGGAGTGTACACAAAACTGTATTTTAAAGCAGCAAGCAAGCATTGACACCTTATGAACAGAAGTAATCATATCCAATAGGCTCACGAGGTAATACAAAAATGACACAGGTCCTAAAAATAAAATAAAAAAAATGGCTTAAAGAGGAACTCTGGGATATGAATGATTAACCCTTGCAGTGGGGCCACCCCAAAATGCAAGGGTCAAATGCCTATTTTGCCTAGGGAACTAAAATAACAAAGCAAAGATAAGCCTGAAGTTCTTCTTGAAGCATTACAACTGAAGTTTTACATTTTGAGTTCACATAGACTTTGCGTGTTTGAGGGTTGTACTGGATAGTACAGGTGACTATCCAAATATGTAAAGCTTTTGTTTTTATTTCTGTAATATAATCTGTCCCTGGAAATGTATTTAATTTTAACCTTAAAGTACAACAAATAAGAAAAAAAAGAACAATTTAAATGTAAAACCTGTAATGTAATATAATTACTAATTTCTATAGTACACCATCTTAAAAAATGTTTTTGTTTTCCTTCCTTTAAAACATTTAAGGTTCTATAAATGAATCTTTTATACTTTCACATTAGCTAAGTATAACAGCCTGCTAATTGGTTTTGCTTCACAAAGTGTTTAATGTATCTAACTACATATTGCTTATTTTATATTTTCTCCTTGCAATGTAAACTACTAAAGGAAGAGGAAAAAACACACTTTGGGGATTTAGGGGGATGAAATTAAACATGATCAGTAATTGGCTTTCTGATCTTCAGGACTAGGTCCATTTTATACCTGTATTTACCTAATTGACCATGAAATCTTTTGTAAAATCTATGCTTGACAAGAGCTTTGCTACTTTAAGCAGTCTATGATAAATGGCTTTATTATGTTGTGTTCTCCCTTTTAGAAAGCTGCAATGCTTAGTGTTCTTTTCATCTTTAATGGATGCCAATTTGCAAAAAGGGAGCCTTGGACGGTGGCTTGATGTAGATTTACAATTCAATGTGCTGTATTATATACCATGTTAAAAACGACAGTCATGTGTAAAATGTAGTTTATCCTACCCGTGTTTCATTTAACAAGCAGAACAAGGCTGAAGAGCCATCTCTGCTATGGATGTGACAGTATATATATTGGTTTATAGTTTCCATCTTATGTGTCAATTTACCTTTAATATAAGGCCTCTGTTACACACCAAAGCAATTTAGAGCAGGCCTGCCTTGCACCAAAGTGGTCAATTGTGCATTATTGATTAAACAATAATTCTCAAAGTAAAGTGCCACGTTAGGCAGGGGTCAAGAGCTGAAAGCATAGCAGGGGCATTAAGTAGTAGTTTAGGCGACTTACAAAATGGATTGCATATATTAGGTCTACGTCTCATTTGGCAGCCATTTCTCAAACTGTTTTGTATAGCCGTATGTGTGCTCTGTGAATTATGCAGTATGTTCTTTGCTAATTCACAGGGGATAACTTTGGTCTTAATTGCTGAGTGATGATCTTTTATAATGTAAAATGATAAACTAGACCCACTATTAAATAATGGAAGTAGAGCAGTCTGTTCTGTAGTTTAAAAGGATCCACCTGTGAGATACACTTAAAGTAGTATAAACCTTAGATGGAAAAAGCATGTTTCCTTTTAGCAGCACAGTACAATAAATTATTAGTTTCTTTATACTTATTTTGCCCCAAAGACTCACGTTTTCTTTCCTCTACTATCCTCATGCCTCCTTGCAGCACTTCCCTCAAAATTTGGACAGAGGGAATGCTCTGCACATATTCAAGTGACCTATGCATGACCTTCCATGATTCCTTGCAGCTCACTCCTTTGTGCATATGTACCTTTATGTATTTTCTGCTTGCTGGTTGGTTTGGTGGTGCCATTGCGTGTCAGTGCACAGTGCTTGCCAGGGAGCGATGGAGCCACCTTCCAGGGGGAAATTAACTGGATGTAATTTTTGATCAATGGTTGTCCTGGAAAAGGACACTAGAAGGGAAATTTAAAAAAAACAAGGACTTAAGGGGTATACAAATAAGATGTTGACTTTTACAGGGATGGTTTAATATTATTTTAAGACTTTTTGGTCCATAATAGGTGAAAGGCAGAGGTCTCAGAGTTGAGATTTAACAAGTTTTAATATTTAAATTAAGTGATAAAGAGCCAAAATACATGGATATATTCACAAAGGATAAACTGCCAGGTGACACCCTTATTACCTGGTTGAGAGTTATAACTTTCTGAGATTTCTTTTAATTTTGCACAGCTGCTTATTTGGGTTCAATTAGATAGATGCAAAAGTAACACAGTTTGTCATCTGCCTGATGCACTGTGGCAGGGGTGTCTGTATCTTAAAGTGCAAACAAAGAATATTTTTAACAAATTGCACAGGTAAGGTTTTTTTTTTTTTAGCAGAAGAGACTGTGCAGATCTCTTCTGTCAAAAATGGTCCTACCTGCTTGTCAGCATGTTTTTTTTGTGCACTGAGCCACGCATACGCAGCCCAGTGCACAGACCTGGCATGCCAAGATGAAGTAACTGATATGTGCGGGAGTTACATCATGCCAGCCTTGCCAATCAAGGGGCAGAAGACCGTGAGGAGATTGCAGCACTGGCAATGGAAGGGAGAATGGAGGGGTTGCAAGGTTTGCAAAGTAGATCAGCCATAATGTGCTTATATGCTGTGCATACTAACACATTATGGCAAACACCCCATGCAAGATTTTTTTATATAACAACTTCTGCTTTAAGAGGGACTGAACAGACTTACAAATCCTTTGACAGGTAAACCATTGACAGTGGTATGTATTTAGGGCAGTTAACTTTATTTTATTAAGTGTTTTTTGAATCTGTATATTTTTCCCTTTTTCTGTGTTTAGTCATTATTTTTGTACTGTCCATTTTAATGTTTTTCTTTTCTTATATGCTTTTTCTTTTTATTAAAATAATGCATAAATATTGAGGCTTTATGAGAGGCTGCTTTTTGGCACAAGAACAGGTCCAGAATAGTTTAATAGAGTGAGTGCAATGATAATAAGTATCAGCAGCAGTGGAGGGTGGGTTATTCAGTGAACCTGCTATTTTTCCCTGAATGGACAAAGTTCTCTTCAAGTTAAATCAAGATTATAAAAATTTGTATTTGACCATTTTAATATTACTCTTTTGCATGCCTGCTCACATTGCTGAACAGTTAAAGTGCCTCAAAATCTAAATCCAAGAACAAAAATTTAATATATTGCAGCTTGCCAGTCCTTTGATGTGGTTGTTGCATTAAGTAAATCTTAAGCAGTGTAGGGTGACAATGCTAAATAACAGTACAGGGAGTGAGTGTAGACATCCTTGGACAGTAAGTGTGTTACTGGCAGAATCAACACCTGAAAATAAAGGATAAAGAGCCCAGAAATCAAAAGAAAACTATCTCTTGTTTATGTGTTCTTATTTTTTTATTTAAAAAAAGTAAAACAAAACTTATAAAGCCTCCAAATACTGAACCTGATTAAAAATGTGAATATTAAATTTTCTGACTTTTAAATAGAATAAATATTATACATTTGTTTACACAGTAAGTAACTTTCCCTACTGAAGAACAGAAAATGTCAGAGAATGTTACCTGACATGGTGAATGTGAAAACCTGACAAATATGCGTTTTAAACCCAGCAAAGGTTTTCTATGTTAATGTGCAACAAATTTGTTTATAAATACACGTGTTAGTGTTCTCCTGCAATACAACACATAGTCTGCTTGTCTTTCAGCAAACGGAATATAATCATCTCACCGTTCTCAGGTTGTCCCATTCAGTCACAGTGTCCCAGTCCCAGGACTTTATTGTATGTCTCCTCAATATCGCTCAGTAGCTTTTCCTCAGCTCCAAGCAGTTTACCACATATCTTTGTGATTCCAACACACACCCATTGTGTGCCTGGCTATCTCAGCCTTCCAAATACTCCAGCCTCCCTGACTGTTCCTTGTGTGACTCCACCACACCACCTGGCTTGGCCATCATGTGCCTCCAGCACACACACCAACAACTCCATTGAGCTCTGGCCCAATCTCTTAATAAGGCTGCTCTCAGCCACCTGATCAGCCCAGACTGGTCATTGGCAAAGTCCAGATCCCAGGACTGGAGATTTCATCCTACCCAGAGCTACAGATCCCAGCCACCATTTGGAAAACCCAGAAGAAACTGAAAAACAAGCTTTTTCCTTATAAAACTTTTTACATTCTGGACCCTCTCAGCCCCCTCCGGCTGAGAGTCCTGTGTGCCAAATTTGCCAAACTACACCGTGACATTGCCATGCACAGCCACAAGAGGTAGAATAAGCTGTTGAAACAACATGTCTTTTATTTTACTATCTTTCACTCTTTACCACCAACCTTCCATGTGGTCAGTCATGCCCCAACCAGTCAGAGATTGCTCAAGCTCTTGAGATTGCCTGCAGAACATACGAAAGGGAGAGAGTGTAATTCTCAAATTTTGTGAAAATTAGTGTCATTCCTGAAGGGCTCCAGGATGCACTAGTGGGGTAAATGGTAAAAACAATACATATTACATGACAAGTTATTTTGTCTGGTCTGCTGCCTACTGATCCCAACAATTGGCCAGTGATGTCATATTGAGAATGTGTATCTGGGATACAGACAAATATTGTCAAAACTTTGGTTATTATTTGAAAAATTTTTATCTTATGTGTGCATCACTTAGCTGTAGTTCCTCAAATTATCTCTAAATTCATGCTGACACTGTCCTTTCTTCTGAAGGGTGGCAACTTTTGTTCCCCATGGTCCCTGTGTGTGTTGTAAAGCAGTCACTGCTCCAAGCTAGCTCCTGCAATGGACTACATCTCAATACAAATTTGTGAGCTAAACTTGAGACTGTAGTGAATCACATGCATTAAACCTAAACACCAGTCAGATATCTAAATACACACCTGAAATTTATTACTTGCCAAAGTATCCACAACTCTGTTAGCCTTGTAATGTAGACACTTTTGACCAACAGTTTACCAAGCCCACTGACCTCCCTTTTCTCTGCTACATTTAAACAGTAAAACTTGGATGAGGGCCCACCCTCAGTTTGCTACCTGGGAAATGAAGACACACAGGGTCATCACTCATGCTGTGCTCTTCACCCACCAGCAAGTTAGCATTGTTAAATTGGCAGCACTGCAGTAAAGCTTGATTGGCTAGTAGTAATGCCACTATTTTTCCCAGTCTGAATGTTACTTTCCAGCAAATTGCAAATTGCAAAATTGCAAATTGCAGATTATAATATAAATACAAAATACTTACACTAGCTTTATTTAAAAAAGTCATTATTTGAAATAATATCTACATTAATTGAACTGCTTTTTTAAAAACATTATTTAACCTGTAAATGTTAAAGTAATTAGATTAGTATAAGCAATATTATCAATGCCTGCTCATTAATTAAAAAAAAACATTGTATCTCTCTATAGCTTGCAATTATTCATACACAAGGCAGCTATATTTGTTGACTGTATAGGCACACTCGGCTGCTTTGCTGATCCTCGTATCTGACTGCTTGTCTACCAGAGCTAATCAGGTGTGCTGCTTGAGTATGTGTTGACAAGGAACATACTGATAGGAGGATAGAGTAGTGTACAGAAATGGATGACTTTACCAGTCTGCTGCTGCTCTTTCACTTTTCTATTAGAAGACTGGGGGTGGAGGGAGGGCACCAGTGTATTCCTTAGCAGTAAGTAGTGTCATATACATCCTTTGGCAGGTAAAAGAGTATCATATGTATGCTGCATATCAATCAGGGCCCATCTTGTCTTGATTTGTATTGCACCTTTAATGTCTTCTTTATATTGTAAAGAGCTGTACAAACTGTTGGCGCTATATGAATAATGTTTGAAAATAATAACAACAACTAGGTACTTGGCATTCTCTGATTGTGATACTAGGCATTCACTGATTGTCATGGTGTCATGAAATTACCACCCCTCATTCAATAAGAGAATGCCTAGTATTCATTCATAAAAATACTATTTTTTTTCTGAATGGCCAGTGTGCCGAGCGAGCAGCACTGTGTTTTCACAGGAGAGGGAAAGTCGCACAGCACCTGCAGCAGAACCGGGAGGATTGCAGTAAAAGCACTATAGTAGCTGAGGTTATAGTTAGAGTTCAACTTTAACTAGATTGAGGAAAGGAAAGTTAGCTTTAAAGGGTGGGCACCTTTATGCTAAACAAAAGTTAGTACATACTATGCATATGTTGAGGGGCATGCAACTCATTCAGGGAAGCCATTGCAGCCTAATTTCCCCCATGATTTTACCTCTGGTTACCTAAAAGCCACCAATCACATCCATTCATATCATATACATAAGGCAGAAATACTAAATCCTCCAATGCTATTAATGGTGAGCCGTTTTGTAGGCTATAACCTTCATGTAGTTATTTGCTCCAGTATTATTTGTATTATGTGAAAGACAAAGGAACAGTGTGGAGTAATCCTCCCTCCATGTGGTACTAATCCTCACTCCATGGGATCGTGCTTATGTTCTGCATGCGGTTTCAGCTGTGTGAGGCCACATGTTGTTCTTTGAAGATGTCTTTCTTATTATGTGCCTGTGATCAGCACAGGGCAGGTAATTCTTTTTCATTCCCAAGCATGCCCTATTCAAAGACATAGCAGGTCAATATTTATAAGCTGCTCAAAAGACTTGGTGACTACAGGTTAATGAAAGGGATACTATTATTTATATTAAGAAATTATATGCAATTTCATATTTGCAAAGCAATAACATCTTTACTTTAAATGTGGTTTATTAAATGTTTGTGTTTTATCTTCTTAAAGATGAATTCCTCTAAGCATCATTTGGAAATAAACTAATCACATAACATAAACACTGTAAAATTTGAGAAAACAGATCATTCTATTAAAAAATCACTTAGATTTTCTTGCTAAAGTAATCCTTAACATTAAGAAATGTTAAAAAGTAAGTTACCTTTTTTTCAATCTTTGAGAAAGTGAACTTACCCTTTAATTGTGCATAAGCACCTGGAGGAATGTAATTTTTGTTTGGAATTCCTCCTAAAAACAGCAGAGCACTTCCTAACGCACTGCTGAATCTGAGTGCTAGTCTCATGAGATTTGGAGTGAGATTGGTTGAAGTCACTACTGTCCTGCTTACTTTTCTCCTTGCTGGAGGCTCTAACATGAAGAAGCAAAGCCTCTCATCTACCAAGATGGCCACTTCCACACAAAGACACATTTCAAAACAAAGAATGGTAAATCAATAATGAGGAACAGATCAGCTGCAGGAAGACCACTGGCAATACTGGTGACTAGCTGCAGTCACTGTTCAGGTATTCTGTCAACAGCAGGCTCTGGCTGTCCGAATACAATAGATGGCCGGAGGGATTCCTCCATCCACACTCTTTAGCATGAATGGGGGAATTGAATGATTTCCCATGTTCAGTCCACAGGGCTGAATAAGAAAAATCTTAATGTGTATGGCTTGCTAAAGAGAAACTCGACATAAAAAAATACATTTAATTTTTGGTGAGAATGGTGAGATACTCCATAAGGGTTAGTTACATCTAGGGTTGCACAGATACCAAGTACAGTACTCAGTACAAGTACGAGTACATGTAACAATACTTTTGAGCTCCAAGACTACACTAGAGAAAAATTCAAAAATTAGGAGGCAGCTGTCATTTGTAAGGAGCACACGGAGCTCCTGGGATTTGTACATCTCTGTTTTAATGTACGATTTTGTTTTTATAAATATAAAGGGATGCACAGATACCAGTTTTGTGAGTACGAGTACTGGTACTTGCCGAGTACTTACAAGTACGAGTACTGATACATTTTTGTTTATTGTCATGTGACAGTTTTTCTAAAACAATACAGACTAATGATTTCAGGACAGTGGTGGAGTGCCAGAGCCAGGTCCCAGCTGCAACCGCTGCAACCCTGGTAGTTCTCATGAAAATGCCAAGTATCTGCACTGGTACTCGAAAAGTATCTGTGCATCCCTAGACTTCTAAAGTTATGCAAACACTGCACTTTTCCTTATTTGAACACAGAAAGTCCACCAGGTGATTATAGTAAACCCAGACCCTCCCATTCAGTAATCAGTTTGGAAAGGACATGCTGCAATAATACTAATATTTCTTCAGAACAGAAACGGGTAGGACTCTGAAATGGTAAAATCTGACAGAATTTCTTATCTTCATCAATTATATTAAAAATCAACAAAATCATGTTGGCTAGAGTTGATTTATAAGTGACTGTGAACTAAACTCCCACTCATCACTCTCAATACCCTCTTACATAATGTTTGTTTGTATCCTTGTAGAGGTCTCACTGTCTGTACTGCACGTTAGCATGACAATAGAATAAAAATGACACATCCAAAAGAAGAATCTTGCATCTAAGTTTATTTCATTTATATTGCTTTTTTTGTTTCCTTATAATACTGAAGCACTAATTATTTTCCATTTCTTCAATTTCAGGCTTCAGGAGCAGATGCCCTAGAGTTGAACCTTTCTTGTCCTCATGGAATGGGGGAAAGAGGCATGGGTCTTGCTTGTGGACAGGTGAGAGCATTTTTTCAGGTTGATTAAAAAGTTACTTGGAGGACCATTTGGTGCTGATTGGTTGGTTAGCACTCCAGCAGCACTGAATCTGTTTTTGTAATGCCTACAAATACCAGGTCCATGTCAGAGATATGGTCACATGATTGTACATTGGAGGAAATTATATAAGTACATGTATTTGCTACTTTGAGAATGCATATTGTATAATAGCTTGCTTTGGTAGGAATCATCAGAAAAATCAATCCGTGAGTGGCCCTATACCCTCAAAAAAGTCAATGTTTAGAATGACTTTTGGCGAGGGAAATGTTGGAAAATTTTCAGGTGAACAGTGCATGCAGCCAAGCAGTTGCAAGCACTGTTAAAGTATTCTGTCAGTGGTGGGCTCTGCTGTCAGAAAACAAATGACACAGGGGGAGATTTGAACACTGTTTAGTGGATGGAGGAATCTGGCTGAATGAAAAAAATATATCAATGTGTACCCAGCTTAAGACGCAAAGTGCCTTAGCATGTCAGATTGAGAAGCACATCAGCTGCAGGCAAAAGGAAGCTTGCTTTCAAGTGCTTTTAAGGAAAATTGACCTCTTCTGAGATGCTTTTATTATGTGTTGATGGTGGGTTCCCAATGCTTCAGCTATATGTTTTACATGCATTCACCCTGGATTCTAATTGACTTTCATTGAGGAAAAGTAGATCAAATGCAGCAAATAGATCATATTGCATTAATTTAAAAAAAGCAAAGCAGTCCATGACAAAGCAACTATAGATGAAAGCTGACACTGCTCCATACCAGACAATACAAATTTAAACATAGCACTGCCGACCTCTCAAATAAGCATGTCAGGAGTGAAACACAAGCAAGCTTTAAGATTTCTCAAGAACAAGAATATTCTTCTCCAATGGGTATAATAAACGTCCCCCTTCATGCAGTGGTGTATTTAGGTTTTGTGCTGCCCTAGGCAAGACTACACTCGGGAACCCCCCTAATCTAAATTTGCCCCGCCCCTTCCTGTTTAAGACATTTTGCGTAACCTGTCAGTCACTGGATAGAGCACGCATGCTGTATCCAGCTTCTAACAGGTTGTGTTTATAGCGTAGCAGGGAATCCGGGGTCACAGGCAGGCTGGAAAGCATCTCTTGTGGGCTCTACAGGGTCACAACCTGAGATGCTGCAGAGCTCACCATCGACCAGCAGAACCAACCTGAGACCCCACAAAGTCCTCCATAGATCGTGCAGACCCCACCACAGACCCTGCACAGCCCACCATAGATCCTGCACAGCCCACCTGAGACCCTGCACCAAAGATCCCACACAGCCCACCATAGACCCTGCATAGTGCATAGTTCTGGCACAAAGAAAACAACATATCAGCAAAGTTTTTTATTTTTTAATTTGTAACTAAATCCAGTTTGTATAGTCATATCTTGTGTTTACTATGCTGCTTATTGGGTGCAATCAAGAATTATAACTCAATGTAGCCTTAACAGGATTCTATAGGAAAAAAAATCTCATCCTTACAAGATGCATATTAAAACCTATTTGTATTAAATAGGATCTATTAAATCCTAATCATTGAATTGCCTAAATTATTAGATTTACTTTTGTGTCAAAATAAGTTTCAGTAAGCTTGCACTTATCAAATTTTCTAGTACTTTTTTTGATGGTAAATGGTATTACAACAAATAGTTTTCAAAGCAACAAAGCAGAATCAGTTTATTTAAAATATATTTTTTATTTGATTATTTGCAAAATAGTCTACCAAATGCTTGAACTCTTAAATTTTGTTAAAATTTTGTGTTAAGACAAGTAGTGTTCCCTAGATGTATGTGTCTTGGGCAAACATGATAGTGGCCCCTCATGTTGTAGAGGGTGTGGATTACCAAGGAAACATGTGGGTCCCGAGGTTACACAGGTTGAGAACCACTGCTTTAAAGGTACCCCTCAAGGAATGGTTAATTGTACTAATTGGGGTACCAGATTGCAGCCTTCACAAACACCTGTGCAGATGGCAGCTGACCAGGGATAAAACCAGAGCATGGTACACAGTTGACAGGCAACATCAGTAATGGAGACAGCCAAAGGTCAGGGCAGGCAGTAAACAAGCGTGGTCAAATATCAACTGAAGTCAGTAACTGTAGAAACAGGTATTCAAGAGCTAACACAGAGGCTAGGGAATGATTCTATTGCTCAGGCAATGGGTGTTGGGCTGAGAACAGATAAATAGTGAGGTTGATTGACAGGCTGGGCTTTGACTTGCTGTGTAGCTGCTATATCAACTAGCAGGTGAAATCCAGTGATGCCCTTGCCTCTCAGTCCTGGAACAAAGCAGGCTGTGGAAAGGTAGGAGACCACATTTTTTTGACATGAGAAAGAGGGACACCTTACAGCACAATGTATTTAGGTAATGGACACACCCCTGCCATGCCCCCAGTTATGCAGACCATTAAGAAATGATATGCCAAAAAAATTTGGTTTAAAAAGAATTGTTTGTTTTTCACCATTACTTTTCCTTTATATGGGCATTTCAAGAGATAAGAGTGCAGAATAACACTTTTGATAGTTAAACAGAATCTTTTCCTAGATATCTTTGCATCAGACCAAAAAGAGGAACACTTGAGGGATTTGGTTCCAGCTTTGCTGCTGATCTATAACAGTATGAAAATTCAGGCCAATTTTTCCAAATGTTTTTCCCGGAGAAGATGTTACCTTTTACAGAAATAACATATGTGCTAAGGTCCCTCCCCCTTGCCTTGGCTCAAGATAGAATGCTGCAGAGAGGAGCACCACCTCATTATGTGGCTCTACTCTGCAGAATATAAGTTCCACCCACCACTAGAGAAAGAGGGCAAAGAGGATCTGTGATATCTCTGGACAGCTGAAGACACCTTTAAAAAAGGTATGTTTA